GAGCTGCCGACGCGATGCCAGCTCAGCAGACCCAGAACTAGACCAGTTCATGGTTCTTATATTTTATTCAATCTTTCATTGTAATAACTTTTCCTTTTATAAAGTTTTGATTTCTTTTCAACAGGAAGCGTACTGTAATATGCTTGTAAAGTACAGAGAAGAGCTGACGAGGCCGTTGCAAGAGGCCATGGATTTCTTGAGGAGGGTCGAGTCTCAGCTCAATTCAATCACCAATGGAGCTACTGCTTCAATTTTTTCTACCGGTAATTAATTAGTTTTAGGGTTTTTTGAGCAATTTAAAGCACGTACAGCTAATCATACGATCGAGGAGACTGAGGCTGAGTCTCGCTTGTTTCACGCGGGGGAAAAAGAGAGGCATCTGGGGCTCTTTTTTTTTCCTCTTTTGATGGTATCAATAGATCAGTGAACAGTTAAGCTGATATTTTGTAAATTAAATAACAACCACGTTGATATCTAGCGAGTTTATTTTTGGCTACGACACATTTAATCACGAGGGTATAGTGTAACAGGAGTCCTCTTTTTATTCATTTTTTTAAATGTTCAATTTGGACAAGAGCAACCACAAACAAACAACAATAACAAGGAGTTTGTTTAGTTTATCCCATAATGATCTACTTTCATCTGCTAATCACATAAAATATTTGAGAAGGAGAGGTGAGGAGATCACACACGTTGGTGGTGGTCAATAATCTAGATAAACAAAGGACCAAGATTTAGGGTTCCAAAGAGAATACTGGTTTACCTCGAAACTAATGGGTATTGTTATCATCAAACTTGTAGTCATTTGACTCATTTCTCTGATCTTTCCCTCTCTCCCTCCCCCTCTCTCTCCCTCTCTCTTTCTTGCTACTTTGTTGGTGTTTTTTTTAAAAGTAGGTTAGAGCCTTAGGATGCGATTCTAATCAAGGTGTCAGGGTTTGACCCCATGACAAGATAGCCATATGGGTTTTGTTCCCTTGTTATAATGCTCCTAAGGCACACTGAAATTTTGAGGTTTCATCTTCTGTTTATTTTCATTTTATTGATTATCCTACAAAAAAGTAAATTGCTGCAATTTACATGTTAAAAATGTGACTACTGTGAGTTGCTTTAGTTACTATTCTATGCATATGGCTGAAGTGAAAATAAATAAATAAATACGGAACAAGATCCATAATTAGAATCTAGATTAATTCTTCTTTTATTGCTGATCTTTTAGTGATAGAATATTTGTTTAAAAAGATTACAACGGTTATACTCATGAGCGTAGCTAAAATTTTTATTAGAATAATAATACGTAGTACATTCATATGGACGAACAAAATATGAATCACACATTTAGTTTTGTACTGTATATGATAGTATTGATTGATACAACGCGCTTATATTGTGGAATGAGTTTTTGTCTTCTCTTCTTCTGTGCTCATAGTAGCTGTTCTTAGGCCATCTCCAACCCATCGCACTAAAATGGTGCAAAATTTGCACCAAAATGGTGTAAAATTCACATCAAACAGTAATTCATATTCAACCCATTACACCATTTTTTGCACTAAAAAAGAATATTCTCAGTATATTTCTTTTTATCTACTTTTATATCATTATTTTCTATTCCCTATATTTTTAACTACTTCAACAATTAACCCCACATCAAATTTTGTTTTTTTCACATATTTTTTAAACAAAATGATTTATTATTTAAAAAATTAAACTAATAAAACAATAAAATATTGTAAGTATTCTATTAATTATCTTTTGAAGCTTCAGATAAAGATATTGTAAATATTCTATTAATTATCTTTTGAAATTTATTATTATTGTTGAAATACATAACTTGATATTCGCTATAATTTACAGTTAGTTCGAGCAAAGATGTTATTTATGCAAGAACCAAAGTACAAAAAAAGTTTCAAATTTGATCATATCTAGAATACAAAAAAAGTTTCAAATTTGATCATATCTAGAATATGGTTAAAATTTTTAAAAAATTTAAAGATGATGTCCTCATAGCAAGACAAGTTGGTCGAAGACAACCCCAAAGTGTGAACTTTGACTCGTCACAATCAGATAATCCTACTCCGGAATCTCCTATATCAACATCTCCTAGACTGTCATCATTTACTCTACCTGAACGACCTATTAGGGTAAAAAAATCAAATTGAAAAGAAAAAATGATGATCATGAGTCAAGTGTAGTGGATTCCATCGACACAAATAACAACCGACTTATAGACACGTTAGAAAAGACGAGCTTGGACAGGCAAGTAGCATTTGATATCTAACAAGAGAAGATAGCCATGAAAAAAGATAGAGATGAATGAAAAATTATAATGAAAGATTTGAAAATCATTGCTGGTCCAAACGTACATCAGTACGTTCGAGCTCAACAAATTAAAATAATACAAAAAAAAATCAACAAGAACAAGGGTCTGCTTCTAATTTTGGCAATTATTTTAATAATATTGGAGACTCTGTATTCGATCTACTACTAGATTATTGAGAGATGCTTGTCCATCTTATGTAATGTTATATGTTTAGTTTATATTTTATGTTTTTTTTTAAAGAAATTTTATATTATATGTGTCAGTTTTTATATGTTATGTATTTCAGTTATATAATTTATATTTGAATTATGTATTAGGATTGCTCTTTATATTTTTAATTTGTATTTCATGGGACTTTAGTTATAATGTCTATATTTTAATATTATAATTAATAATAATGTACTGTAAATTTTAATATTATTTTTATTTTTAAAAAGTAATTTATTTTGTCCAAATTATACAATTGGGGTAAAAATTATAAAATTTAAATATTATTGGGGTTGTTTTATAAATTTAAATAAAACAGTTGGGGTCAAATTATAAATACATAAAATTAAGAGGTAAAAATAAAAAATAAAAAAAGGAAAAAAGGAAACAGTAATGCATCGAGGAACAATGCGACGCCATATTTGGCGACACCATATTTGGCGTCGCACTGTTCAAATTCGCTAAAATGCCGCAAGAAATGTGGCTCGATTGGAGAAGAAACGCAGCGGAAAATGCACTGTTTGCGGCATTTTGTCGCTATGTTGGAGATGCCCTTATGTATTATTGTTCATGGTGGTAGTTTTAAATAGGGTCTCATAGTACGTACAGGTGTAATTATTCTTGCTATATGTAGTTGCCAAACTTAAGAATTGTCCCTAGTACAATTGATAAGTTCCATCATAAGTAATAAAAGAAAAGTAATTAATAAAATGGTGAAGAAATGAGGTATAAAGAGATGCACTAGAAAATCTCAGCTAGAAGGGAAGACAGAATATAATAATGAAGCTGAAACTTTAATTGCACCAAATAATAAAGCCTTAAAATGCAAGCAATGCATAAAATTTGAAGTTAGTTATCAGAAGTCTCCTAAATAATCGAACCTTAAAATTAATTAATTATTATTTAGTGTTGATGAAGATTAAGTTTAACCCTTTAAGTTTTGCGATAACTAGCTCTTGAACTGTATCACATATGTACATGATGTTTGACTCTGTTTGCGGCTTTCTTCTGGTTGAGGACAGCAAGGAGCTATTTTTTTCCTTTCTTTTTTTCCTTTTTTTCTTTTCTAACGAGGAAAAGGATGGGATCAAATATCCCAGGCACTATTACAACATCAAGGAGCTGGTGTGGAGCTCTCATTTCACACGGGAGAGATTAGAGATAATGTTTATAATTTTATATTGTGGTCAAGCCTTGACACCTAGCTACTAAGTTTACATTAAGTTTAAAATGCTTTGTGATGTTAATTTCTCCTTTGACAGTTTCTTATATATGTTAGACAACTCCTTTTTATGTAGTTTTTTCTTAAATGTTGTTATTTTTTCCCCTTAAATAAGTTATTTGGTTAGTTCTTATTTTGAGCTTTGTGCATGATTTGACCAGCTGTACTATTTATACCATAGTGCTATGTAAATATAACTTGAAGTTAAACATTAGTTTTTCTTTTTCTACTATATAATCAAATCTCTCATGGAGAAACTACAAAACAGATATTCTAAATGTGACTACATTATCCCGGAAAGCCTTTAATTGATAGCTAAGCCATAAGAAAACAATTCCATTGATTTGAAATTCGAGATTGTTTTTCCTTCTTGTTACGATTATATTTCAAATAATGACTTCAAGCTCATATTAAATTGTTGATTTATTCAATCATCTTATATATTCTTTCCCTTGAAATATGTTTTGGTCTCATGCTTCATGGTTCATCCTGTAATTTCTTATTACATTTAATGAAATATGTTTTGACAGTATATTTCATCATTTTACAATCATAACTTTTGTTTAAGGGCCGAAAGATAGTATTTATGACACTTGTCATGATTAGGTTCAAGAATACTAAACAAGTAGTTTTTATGATACAGCTTTCCAGGACATTGACTTTATAAGGTGTTTACTAAGACTTTCAAGAGGCAATGCGGAAAATTTTCTTATTTTATACCTATAACCACTTTTAAGTTTATAACTCATCACACTATGCATAGTGTTGTATATGAGAGTAGATTTATTATAATTTGTTGTCAAGCTTTGCAATGTTAAATTGTGAGTTAGAAGAGGAGCTATATGGACAAGCTGTTGGGTTTGTAGTTCTAGTCGAGAAACATATGTTCTATAGAAAATGAAGAGATGTAAGGACCTTCTTTAATACTTTAGATGCGGATTACGATTGGCTACCTTGTGTCCTTGACATCTTGCCTTTCCTGAAAAAGTACAACTTTTTATATGTTACATAACTAATGACCAAAATAATATGCTTTTTAAGTAATCTATCGATAAAAAATAACTTAAAATTCAAGGGCTTTAATTCATATAATAGCTAAGAAGTTAACATGCTATTGAATCTTCCCTTCAACTTTATAATTTTTTAGATGAGAAGTGTGAAGGAGTTGCTTCGTCTGAAGAAGACCAAGATGGCAGTGGAGGTGAAGCTGAACACCCAGAGATTGACCCGCGAGCTGAAGACAAAGAGCTGAAGCACCATCTACTGAAGAAATACAGTGGATATCTGAGCAGCCTAAGACACGAACTCTCCAAGAAGAAAAAGAAAGGGAAGCTCCCTAAGGAGGCTCGACAAAAGCTTCTTAATTGGTGGGAGCTGCACTACAAATGGCCATATCCATCAGTATGTCACTTGTTACTGTCAATGCCTATGCTATTATTTTTTGAGAAAATACGATAGGTACATGAATTTAACGTACTTTCCAAGTACATGAATTTAACGTACTTTCCAAGTACATGAATTTAACATAAAATTTCCAAGTACATGAATTTAACGCAAAATTTCCAAGTATGTCGAAGCAAGAAAACAATACAAGATGTCAAAGCCAAGTTAGGAGAAGCCAAGATGAAGTACAAGTTAGAAGGTCACTAAGAGCTTTTTCTGAAAGAAAAAAAGGGGGGGGGGTTGTGGGGGGGGGG